GGATATTCCTCAAATAGTACTCTGTGGCGGGGATCATGACGAGGGATCACAAAAGGAACTCCCAAACTAAATGGCTATTCCAGGCTTTGAGTGGGCTTCTTTTAATGAATCATCTATAAATGGAAACCCACTGGGTCATTCATGGTTCTGCACAGCAGAGAACAAACCCAGTAGTATTGGATTGGCTGCATTGCATAATGCAAAAATAAACTTGCCAGAGGAAGTGTATTCTTGTTTGTTCTTTAGGAAACCAGCAGAATACCCCAGTCAAATCACTTGTCATTCAAGAAATTTCCAAGACAAGTACGGGTCTTAGCACAAAGCAAGAAAGCTCCTCAGTGCATCATCTGAACTTCAGGGAAGCTTTGATTGATCTCCTAATTTTGATGATCTCCTAAATCTGTGCCTGTAATCTGAATGAAAATAAGCATGTAAGGGCTTATTTTGGGTCATGTATAGCAGCAATAGTACAAGTGAAAATATCTGGTAAGTGTTAAAGGATTTGATAAAAGAAACATTTCACTTGGCACTTGCTGTGGATTTGAATTTTTCTTGCACTAATTGCCGTGACCTGGTACAAGTCAGTTACCTGTTCTAAGTCTTATATTTGTAGCTGGTGGAGACCTAATGATAATAATGATAAAAATATCTAAAGTGAGTAGTAGGCAAAATATTATACACATTATTTATTTGTCTACCACCTGGCAAAGAGTAGACTTTATGCACATATGTTTGGATGGAATAGACAAGACAGAATTCCATCTTCATATTGTCCTCTTTTGGTCTGCAGGTTACCACCCCACCTCCTGTATATGGGGAATTATCTTAGAAATGTCTATGCATTTGGGATTGATAACAGAATGATCTATTGTAAGTTAGTTAGACCACTTAATAAAACTATACATATATACCTGAAGTATTTTAGTTTTCACTTCAAACACTTGAACATTCATTCATCTGCATTTTGCAATATGACCAAGTCTTCTCTCAGAGTGTGTGTAGCTAAGACCTGGTGCTATACTTCCTGCCTCTGCCTGCTCTGCAAGTCCTGCCCGTCCACTCCGTTTTCGAACTCAAAGACATCAGTGAAACTAAATGATGCCATGATCCTTTTGTATACTTTCCTCATTTTATTTTTACAGTTGTCTTCCCTACTCTAGATTCTATAGCCGGTTGGTTTTCTTCTTGTTTTTTGTTGAGTATTTGTGTGTGTGTGTGTGTGTGTGTGTGTCTTTGGGGGGAAGGCGTCTCATTTTGATTAAGCCATTCCGAAGTATTCAATTTCCTTTTCACAGAAAAATAGTGACCTTTCGCACTTTTGTATACCAGGGTGAAGCTAAGACTTAACATACTGGTTTTCATGTTCATTGGTGAATTAAGTTCAGGCCAGTTGTCAAGCAACAATACAGTGGCTAGAAAAGCCCTTGAGAACAGTGAAAGCACCCGCCCACCACTGTCGCCCATTGCCATCGTCTGCTGCCATGTGAAGGACAAAGAAACAGAGTCAGGCTTGACACAGAAAACGCTTTACCACTTCCCAGCAGTAAACATGGAAGCAGAGGAGAGGAATAAAGCTATTAGAGATGCAGCCTTAAATGTGTGAGGTATGGAAAATATAAAGAAATCCTGAACTGGTACGAAGCACTGGCTTTCAAGATATTCAGCTTCCCTTGAAGCACAAGTGCTCTACGCCAAACAATGGACAGCCAGGGACCGGGAGGAGGATAAAAGGGAAAAATACACAGAAAATTTCACCTAATTCTATATAAATCCGGCATAAAGCACGGAAAAGGGGAAGCCTCTTCCAGAGAAGCTGGCTTATACTTGTGCACAAGCCTAGCCTTTGTGGTTACCTGGAGCCTGTATTACGGACACATTTATTTTTGAACTCTTCTTATGTTTTAAATATAATCAGCAGACAATGGAGCCATAGCCGATGTTAAGCTCCTCTATCTGACGGCATTTTTGCATTACCAGGAAATGTAAGAGAAAATAAGGGAAAGGCTGGGTCAAAGAGCTCTCTTAATCCTGCCCATCCTCTGTCCAGTAACTAAGTCCAGAAATTCTGTGTGGGAATTGAGGCTAACCAAAGATTGAGACCTAAACATTGAATTTTGGCCACACAAAGTTCTGACTTTTTACCAAAGTGGAAATTTTTCAAATAAAACACAGAGACCCAGTTGAACAGGCTGAAAATAAGTACTTCAAGACTTTCTGATTTTTAAAAAATGTATATGAGCTTCATATGTAGCCTTGAAAAACTTACCTCACTAATTAATCCCTAATTATGAAATCGACCTTATTTATTTTTCTCTGTAGTTTTTTTCACTCCACTTCCCTGTATTTTAAAGGAAGGGCAATAATTTCCAAAAGACTGTTTCAGGAAATCAACAACATCATGCCAGTTACCTAGAAAAATATAAATTTGATTCACATTGTTAGTTATGCATTTTGAGTAGCTCTTATCTAAAAATGTTGGAACCAGAAATATTTCAAATTTCAGATTTTTTTCTTCAAATTTGGGAATATTTGCATAAGTGTTACCAGTTGAGAATTCTTAATCTTAAAATTCAAATTCCTATATTATGCAAAATTAGAAACTTTTGAGGGCTGCCATGACTCTCAGAAAGTTTCAGATTTTGAATTATTTCAGATGTTGGATTACCAAATGAAGAGGCTAAATCTTTACCATTGTTTATGAGGTTGCTTTTAGTGAAGACCACGAGCTGTATTGATTGGGTTTCCCATCCCCGTCCTCTTCACTGTGGGGTCAGGTAGAAAGAGTCCTGCACAGCTGGGTTCCCCTGACCCACACTGAAATGGGATTAGGGAACGTCGGGACCGGGACGTTGGCTGGGGCAAGACTACCAGGATGTGGCTCACTTAGCAGTGCCTCTCAAGAGAAAGGGATCACCCTGACCACTGAGCTGGGCCTCTTAGAATCCTCAGAAGCGATGTGACCAGCAACAAAACAGTCCTTGTTTTTTTCATGTGTGTTTGCAAAGTTGTGTCGGGGAAAAGCTATTCCACTGCACTGAAAATTTTAGACAAGCAAGACCTTCGGTTCTTACAACATTTAAATTATCAACCAGTAAGTCAGCGATTTCATCTTGTTCTGTTTCCTTCAAGTGATTAAAAAGCCCCAGGGAAACTCAAGAACATGCTTCTCCCATAAACTCTTAGAGAGACTTCAGTCAAAAAGACCACAGAAGCAGCCTGGGTGCTGCACGGTCTTCTGCTGTTTTGTTGGTTGGGAGGCTCTGACCTCAAAACATTCCTTGAAAACTGCCGCCTTCTAAAAGATCCCTGGACCTTGATAAGATGTTTTCTCCTGTTCTTCTGTTTTACCATCTCATATTAGGTTCATTCGGCCCCAAAATTGGCATGTTCCAATAAGGAGTGAATACAGTTCCTTACATAAAATACTGAGAGGCTTATGGGAAAAGGTCGTCCTTTACCTTTGCCACCTCTGATTCAAGGAGTGGTGGTCCTTCCCAGGTCACAGAGTTTTTGCAACATTTCCTAAGTTCTACAAAGAAAAGAGTGTGGAAGAAACTACTATGTTTGTCTGACCACCACCCCAAAGCCTGAAAATAGTCAATATTGATCCCTGTACCAAAAACAAACAATAAAAACCAAATAAACCACCCCTGACACACAAACAGCACTTTCTTCTGTGTTTTCTGTAATGAGTGGGAAGCATTTCTTCAGTGCTCCCTGGAACATCTTTTTGGATTTACAGCACAAGTTAGAGACCCATGAGGAGCTGTGCTCCCGAGAACCACACCTGCTGCTGAGATCTTTTCACGTTATCTACAATTTCTTCCTGAATCATGTGTTGCAACTTCTGAAATGTTGCCTTCTTCCTGAAAATCTCCCCAATTAGTGGAAAGAGAGTTGGTAGTTTAAATTTTGGACATTATTCACCCAAGAGAAACAAGAGTTTGGCCCCTATGATCTTCACAGAAGGTGTCAATCTTCAAGTTAAAATTCAAATTATGAGCTCATGGAGCCTCCAGTCCTGTCCGAACACCTGCGTATTCCTGGTGCTTGACTCCTAGTAGCATTAAACCCGGCTCTACTAGCCAATGCTTGAGTGATAAGAATGCCAGTTAATAGAATCCTGCAACTCCACACATCACCTGAGCTTTACTTCCCTGTTGTTTTGGTCTTCAGTAAGTCTCAGAGCAGGACAACAAAGCTGTCATCTATATTTAAAATGGTTACCATAACCTCTGCATTTAGAAATTTTAACTTGCATTTTTGTGTTTCTCATCTCCTTTACATGATCTTTAAATTTATTTCAATACCCATCTTTTTAACATATTTTTTCTTACAGTTTATTTATTTTCCTACTTCTTCAATAGGACTGTAAACTCCACAGGGACAGAAAATAGTTCTATTCAAAACCATATATCAGATGCTCATAATACTGCTTAGAATGTACTAAGGGCTCAGTAACTATTTATCAAATCAACAAAATGAAAGAATAATTATATTTCCCATACATCAGGATCACAGCAAGAGTATTTTCTTTGTTTTGTTTTGCTTTAATCCCCAGACCCAACTTCCATGAAATCAGAATACTTAAGTGTGTGAATTTTAGGAGTCTGGATTTTCAGTAAGGAGTCTAGGTGATCTGGGTGTAGCTATTCTGAGAACCACTCACTATTCTAGAGAAATCCTAAGCCCTGGGAAAACAGAGTAACTTCCTGGTCACCTAGCTATACAGCAGTGCACCTTAAGTTCCGTAATCTCTGTTCTGATAAACTTTTGACTCTGGTCCTCTATGACCTGGACCTCACGTATTTGTTGCTAGCTCATCTTTTATCTTTGAGATTAAGCCACTGAAAGAAAAATGGTGGCTTCTGAATTTTGTAGTCCGTCTCAGTGGACAGGAAGGGCTTTAGACTTAAGCATCAAGAGACTTTTTGATTCTGATATTGACTTCACACAACCCAGGGTGCATGCTAAGTTGTCCTTGTGTGTCTCTCTCCTAGTTCCTGGACCTCTCCATTAAATGGACCACCCAGGAAACCTTTCCTCCCAAGTACCTTCATCATGACCCAGAGACCTCTCGCCCGCTCATGTGTGATAAATGTCCTCCGGGCACCTACCTAAAGCAGCACTGTACGGCCAGGCGGAAGACCGTGTGCGCCCCATGCCCGGACCACTACTACACAGACAGCTGGCACAAGAGTGACGAGTGTCTGTACTGCAGCCCCGTGTGCAAGGAGCTGCAGTACGTCAAGCAGGAGTGCAATCGAACTCACAACCGCGTGTGTGAGTGTGAGGAAGGGCGCTACCTGGAGCTGGAGTTCTGCTTGAAGCACAGGAGCTGCCCGCCCGGGTTCGGAGTGCTGCAGGCTGGTACGTATCTGCTCCCGATCAGTGTGGCGATGCCAGTCGCAGCCCCACACAGCCAGACAGTTGTGGAGGTTTCAGGGGACGCCTTTGTCCTGCAGACCACAGGATAGCAAATAGCACAGGTAATGGGACCTGTACAACGTAACAGGATGTGTCTGGATGGCTTCTTAGGAGCCTTTCTCAGAGGAATCCTTTGCCACCACAGGGTAATTTAGTGAAGAATCTCAATTGCTCCCTCATGAGATGCGTGACAGATTGCTCTTTTTTAAAGGAACAGCCTGACCTGGGCTGTTCATGCGTGCTGTCTACCTCTCCGTTCACTGCAGTGTGGACAGCTTCAGACTGCAATGCTTTCTGAAAAACATCAGAAATGATGCCAGGAGAATAATTATGCTGATATTAATGAGGCTCTGGAGTGCTCACAATGAGCAGTTATAATTAATTACGTAAAACGTGAGAATGGTCAAGGGAAAAGCTTTCCAGTATTAAAAATGAAGGCCGCTCTTCCTCTGGCGTGGGAGTTGAGTGCCTGGGTGGACAGACTGTCTCGCCACCTCTCCAACCTGCTTATTCTTTATCTTAGACAAAGCAGATTGTCCAGCCAAGAGGAAGCCCCTGCCTATAAGCAAAGTGCTTTATCTCTGCGTTTCCAACAGCAGATTCAGTGTTCACTGAATCTTTTAAAGCTGCAAGCCCATCTTTTCTGCTAGTCTCCTCTCCACTGTAGACTACCTTCACAGGGCCTGAGAACATGAAGGGTTTTGACTTACTTAGCTGATAAGAAGGAGCGATCGCTCTGGGTTCAGATTACCACTTTGAAGCAGGGTTGCTTAATACCATTGATGTTTAGGGCTGGATAATTCTCTTCCTGCGGGGAGCTGTCCTGCATGCTGTAGGGTGTTTAGCAACATCCTGGCTCCAGCCACTGGATACCCATAACAATCCTCCCTCCACTGAACAACCCCAAATGCCTCTGGACTGTGTCCTTCGTTCTCTGACAGAAGAGTCATCCTTCTAGGGAACCAGTGGCCTACTATAGTTCATGCTGGTTATTTGTAGCTATTTAGCTTCCAGAAGTTTTAATGTACACAGTCTATTATTAGATGACAAATACTTTGGTTTAAAGGCTTACAAAGGAAACATACTCAAAATTTGGAAGCTACTCAGTTTCCCAAGTAGCAAATCAAAAAAAACATTCTTTTAACTGTAAAAAGTCACTTTGCATGAGAGGTGCTTCTAATAGGAGTATTTGAAGGAGGAACTGGAAACACTTTCTGCTTTTTATTAGGTGAAGCTTTGAGATTGCAAATGGTAAGAGAGTTTCAGCAAAAACCTAAACACCAAAAACATTCCAATCAGTGAGTAGTGTGTGTAGGATCATTAAGCCTGGACTGTGCAGATTGCTATTTTCATTATTTTGGTTTAATAAAACAAGGCTGTTTTCCTCATAAGCATGAAAATCTGTTGGTAGGACGAAGTAAGCAGATAGCTAGAAGACTTCATGTAACTGGATCTGTCTAGCTCTCCTGTCCTTGTTTTGGACAGTGAACACTGAAACAGAAAGACTAGCAAACATCCAGGGGTGGGGAGTGGCCAGATGAGTGTTTATTAGGAAGAATAAAAGAGAATCTCTCCACTAGTTGGAGAGGGGCGGGCCGCAAGGCAGACACCCTTGATGCTTAAGTCCACTGGCTTTTTGTGCAGTTTTGGGGACCAGTGCAAATGACAGACAGCAGAGGTATTCCTGGCTGCAGTTAGGCCTTTGATGTCTGGAAAACAAGCTGTTTCCCTGCATTTTATTTCCTCCAGGTCTCTCTCCCTTTCTGTGAAGGACCTGTTCTTGGTCTCTTGTGGTTCACTAGGCCCTGAGAGTTCACTCAAACTAGCTTTCAGTTAGTTGCCATTTCGGGGTCTGTTCCCTACCTGCCCAGCGCCACCCATCTACTGGCTTCATTAGAATAAAGGCACATGGTTTTTTCAGGGGTGCCCGAGTGGGAATCATGCGCCTCTGCTTCCCTCAGCACTCACCCAGTGTTCATGCTGGAAATTAAGAAGTTTCTAGCAAAGAGAAGGCGGGGCTCTGTGGCTTACTCCATAAATTGTTCAATAACCACACCTCTTCATTTTCGGAATGAATGAATGCTGCTTTGAGGCCAGCTCGCCTCCCGTCTGTGCTCTTCACATCCTCCTGGCTGCTGGTCAGCCTCTAATTCCCCGGAATCACCTGTGGCTGGCGTGGGGAATTACAGCTGTAAGGCAAAGCGCCTCTCATCTCTGGAATAGCGTGTGTTTTGCCTGCCAGGTTATCATTTTGTATTTCCACTGAGAGTAATAAGAGAAAACCATTCTTAGATGAGTAAATCATATGTATTTACCAAGAGTTTTGTCACATGGAAAGAAGGAAGTCCTTCTCAAAAGGTCATGAGCTAACGCCTCCAAACATGACATGTGGCCATTGGGAAAAGGGACTCAGTCCACACGTCCACGTCACTATCCTTGAATAACTGAGCAGTCAGTAGATGTCACAGGACTCCTGCCTGGCTCAGTACCTCTGTGGGTCAAGTGGTAGAATCTGGTTCTATGATTCTATTTAAGCAGAAGGGTGTTATAAGAAAGAAAATTTTAACAGAAAAACAAAACAAGAACTCTTTGCTTTGCTCCTAAGATCTTGTCACAATCACGGTAGAAACAGCCTCTCATATGCTTCCTTTTCCTCCTCTTTACTTTTATTGTTATTTATTTTTTCTTCCTCTCCAGCCCTTTGTCCTTTTTGCGAGTCAGTGAACCATCAATCTTTTTTCAAAGCAAGGAGACAGGAGGTGAAGCTAGAACCAATCCACTTTGCTCCCCCGCTCTCCTTTTTAGTGGAAAATACAATAAAGTAAAAGACAGATATTTTTTAACAAATGAAGCTGAATAATTTCGTGTGGTTTTCCTTTGTCTCTTGCATTCATTATCTGCATGAGCCAGAATTAGCCCGTAAAATCTGCATCTGAATACTGAAGCCTGAATCTGTTCAAGGAGCTTACACTAGATGGAGATATTTTCATATGCAAATGCATTCTAATGTGTGATCTATCCATGCAGAATGGAGCCAGGGTTTGAAGATATTTATGCTTGGCAGCATCTTTAGCTGGTAGACCTGTTCAGATTTGTTCTCCAAGTTTTTCAAATACGTTACACTGTGAAATAAAATGCCCTTTGCAGGTAGCCTTTGGGAAGTTTTAACTATCCTGCTCTTTATGCAACTGTTTAAGGAAATGGTGTGTCATCTTCTTTTCCTGTGGAATGTCACCCCAGGCTGACTCTTTGGAGTCAGCAGCCAACTTTACCAATAGCTTCAAAACCTTATTATGAGGTTGTCGATTTTTACTTCTTAAGGTTTAACCTGCCCATGAGTTGCTTCACAATTAAGATTCAGAAAGTAAAGAACTGCAGTAGGAACTCATTGGAATTTAACAACACAACATTCAATAGGAGCTCATACGTTTCGATCAATTTTGTATGTTTATATCTGTTAATCTAAGCAACCCTCTTGAAGGTAATAATATATAATACTACAACCACTGTCAGATTCCTAGCATTGAGGGCTGGAGATTTAGCTCAGCAGGCATAAGCACCTGCCTGGCAAGTGTAAGATCATGAGTTTGATCCCCAGCACCAAAAAAAAAAACAAAAAAACAAAAAAACAAAAAAACAACTTATCATCTTGTTTTGTGAACTTATACTGTTACTGTATTTGGTTTCTTGTTTTGTTTGTCTGTATTGCTTTTTGCTTTTCTTTTCTTGTTTTGTTTGTCTGTATTGCTTTTTTTCTTTTCTGTGTCTTTTAAATCTTAAATAAATTTTTAAAAAGCATTCAGTAAGAGCTGATTTCAAAGAATGATTCCATGTCAAGGGGACACACAGTAGTTATCCTGCTGATTTTCAAGGACTAATTGGGTGAGAGTGTGGCTGACAGCCAGCCTTGCTAACCCTTCACCAGAGGCAGGACTGATGAGTGCTGTTCTGTTCTCTTTTCTCCTCTCACATTTCACTAATGTTCTGTAGGAAACAGCAAAACAAATTCTCGTTTGTGTTATAGGAAGGGGAGACTGCCTCTGGGGCTGACAGGAGACGTTTTGTTCTCTCTGCCTAATGAAGTGAAAAATAAAAGAAGCCCAAAGTTTTGTGCACCATCACAGTAGTGATAAAAACCAAGTCTCCCCAAACCCGCTGAAGAGGGTTTTCTGCCGTGAAGTGCTGCAGAAAGTGCTAACGGCTTGGTGCTTTCTGTAGGAACCCCGGAGCGGAACACGGTTTGCAGAAGATGTCCGGACGGATTCTTCTCGGATGAGACATCCTCCAAAGCACCCTGCAGAAAGCACACGAACTGCAGTGCATTCGGTCTCCTGCTAACTCAGAAAGGAAACTCGACGCACGACAACATATGTTCTGCAAACAGTGACACACAAACTTGCGGAATAGGTAATTACAGTCAGACAGCCAGCCTTGGTCCCCGTCCGCGAACCCTCAGCCACTGGCCATGTTCTTAGTCAAATTCACACTTCCCCTTTTGGATTCTTAACCAGCTGACCAGTTACTAACACCACAGCTCAAAATCCCCCTGAGTCCCCCGTCTTCTCACAGGTAAGCCCCTGGCCTTCTGCCCTTCCACACTCAAGTCTCATTCCCCACGGGCAGCGTCAGGTTTGTTACATGAGGTCAAATTAGCAGAGTTCAGCGTAGCTTTTAATTATGTATTTTTAATCCCTTTCCAAGAAGTCTGTGTTATTAACTAAAGTTTCAACTGGCCACTCAGAAACAAACGGACTAGACTGATGACACATTAGAAATATGACCTGGCTTTGTTTCCACTGTCACCAGTGGATTTACTGCATCAAAGTTCCAAGGCCTTCTGGATGCTTTAGATTCCTGATTTGGTGGGCGGCACCGGCACCAAGCTCCAATCCCCTGAGCGCATTCCTTGGTGGTGATGTCACTGATCCATCCAGGGACTGCCTTGTGCTCTCTCCCTGTCACTCCTGCCCTGAGACTAACCTCAGACTTTCACGGCAGGGCGCACCCCAGCCAGTGCTCTGCTTGTGTGCGTCAATCAGACAATGGCACGAACCAGCCTGGCTCTCTCCCAAAACACCTTTTCATAACTGCATAGAAGTTTACAAAGCAAAAGGAGGGGAGTTGATATGTTGATGTTTGCAACAAAGTTCTAACATTTTTTTTTAAGTGCTTCATACAATTCTTAGGAAGTCATCAAGCCTTTCTGCTTTTTCTTTATTCAAAAAGTAATTTTTTTTTAAAAAAAAGACATGTTAGAAAAGATTAACTTCTAAGTTTAACATACTTGCTCGCTTACTGAGTTCATTTTGAATTTAGTTTTGCAGCTAGTTGAGTACTATGTGTCATGTACTTTGCAGCATAGACTTTAATAGTTACCAAAACTCTGTGAAGGTTTCAGGGTTCACGGGGCTGGTGAGTGGCAGAGCTTTAAGTCATGTCCGGTTAAGCTGAACTTCTAATCCCTGTCTTATATGTACTGAGACACTTGGACCATTTCAACTTTTTACTGAATTACTTTTTTGATGCTTATTGTCCCATTTAACGCATACTTTGTATCTGCGGTGTTGGGAATGAAACCAGGGACTAACACATGCTGGGTGAGCTGTGCCCACTGCCAAGCTGTGCCCAGCCCTGATGCATGGGTATACGTCTGAATCTACAGGTACATAAAATAGTACACTGTTTCAGATCAGTGCTCAAGCGGCCTAGGGGCAGTGATTATTTCTGTTGTGATGCTGACTTTGAAGTTCCTCATAGACACTATGAGCCTATAAGAGTGTTAATATTTACATTATGGAATTTATCATTATTTAATTTTATAACTTAACCTATTATAATTTAAATATGTGTTCATAATGTACGTAATTAAACTCTCCCTGTCCCAAAAGTCCCCCCAGCCACAAAATAAAAGCATGTGAGCATGTCGGCCTCTTCCACTAAGAGCATCCAATAGCATGTTGATATTCCCCCCTCACCCCGAACTTCACATTTTAGCATAGTGTATCTTGGAACACTCACTTGTGCTGGTTTGTGCTTTTATTTTATAAAAGCTTCCCATTTACCGCTGAGTAAATGTTCCTGGCTTCCTCACCTTTTGCAGATGTCACGCTCTGCGAAGAGGCTTTCTTCAGGTTTGCCGTTCCTACGAAGTTAACACCTAACTGGCTCAGCGTCCTGGTAGACAATTTGCCCGGCACCAAAGTCAATGCGGAAAGCGTCGAGAGGATAAAGCGACGTCACAGCTCGCAGGAACAAACTTTCCAGCTGCTGAAGTTATGGAAGCAGCAGAACAAAGAACAGGATGTGGTCAAGAAGATCATCCAAGGTACCCTCGCCCGAAATGAACGGGTCGGTCAGGAGTCAAGGGCGTCCGCTCGTTCTAGAACAGCCACAAGACCATGTTCCTGTGTGCTTGTGGGGTGATGCTCCCCCTTTGGAGTAGCTGTTGGGCTGAACAGTTTTTCACCAACTGATGAGGTTGACAGCATTCCTAAAGAGTAGTCTTGTGACGTTTTCTTCTCTCTCCAGCCCCTATTTCTCTTTAAAGTGCACTGATTGCTCAAAGAGAGCAGAGATGCACTTCAAATACAGGACCAGAACTTATGGAACCTGCTTCTGGTAGATCCCTTAGATCTTTTTTAGCCACCTTGTGGCTTAGCTAGAAGGTCTTTAAGCTGCTTTGGATCTTGGTTCGCATTTCTTTGCCAAAGCTGTAAGACTGAAACATGTTTGGCAATTCTTTCCAGAGCGGCATAGATTATCTTAGAGGTGTGCTCTCACTAATCCCCTCACATACTCTCTATTAAATTGCCATTTCAGTATCGTGTGCGGTAAGGATTAGTCAGATGAGCACTGCAAAATGTTTCAGCTTTTTGGAAGAAAGGGCTGGTTAAGACCTTGCAGTCATGGACCCTGGAGGTTTCAAAGTGCCTTCTTTAGAAATGGTGCAGAGGAGAGGAGAGGGAGACAGAGAGGGAAAAGAAGAGAAACAGAGGGAAAGGATGCCTGAGTGTGGCAGAGGAAATCTCAGAGAGAGAAAATAAGCCTCACTCCGTGTGGACTGAAGTTTTAGGATGCGTACTGTTGAGAGTTCTGAATTTTCCTACCCTTTTCTGAAAACTTCAAACATCTGAAACCCGGACAATGGATTTTAGGATTTAACCTCTTTTGACAGCTGAGTGCTTTCACTTATGCAAAGAATAAACTTTTCTTCTGTTTGTGGTAAAACAGAAGTATTCTTTGAATGTATAACCAGCCCTGAAGCAACAAGAAAGGAAAACAGAATCAGAAAACATTAGAATGGGAAGGGACTAACTTCCCTGCTTCATAAATGGGCACACGGCAACCCAGGAAGATGAACCGACTTGCCTCCAGGCTCACAGATCCTAAATGACTCATGCTGTTAACAGAAACATTAGTTATTTCCTCGTATGTTTATGCCCGAGCTCAGAAACATCCTCTGGGCTATGTGTACTCTCCTGTCACTGTGTTTTCAGATCTCTAGCTCATAATCTATGTCTTTTCGAGAACGGCATATATTTATTAAAGGCTAGCTGAAGGAACTCTTTTCCAATCAGCCTACTGTTAGGTCTGAGAAGGGGAGGAAGAGCAAGGAGTGGCCGGCGGTGGTGGCTGAAAAGATAAGAAGTATAAAATATAAGTAACCTTTATTTCGGGAATGCGGGGAGAGACCCCCCCCCCCGGCCCCCAGGGCGCAGCATCTCCACCCCAGGGCCAGCGATCTCTCTCTCAGGAACACACTCTCTCTCACGAACACGTGGAGTGAGGCACATAAGTAGCCTCTGTCTGGGATGGACCCTAAGGGGTGTTAGGGATGCACAGGTAGCCCATTGGCACACGTTTGGTGCCAGAGGTAGGTTACTAAGCGCAGGGGTGTAGGGTTACAGGTAAATTCCTAGGGGCGGGGGAGGCAGGAGCTCCCTAATTCCTGCTGAGGCTTTTCCTGGCTAAAATGTCCGGTCTGGGCCAGCAACCCTTTCATATCCCGTCTTATGATTATTAGGAAAAGGGGCGAAGATTTCTCTCTGTAACTACTTCCTGCTGGTTGAGGGCGCTGTATTGGGGTCTAGGGGAGTCGTCGGGATGAAGGTTGATGCCCAGGTAGACGCTGATGTTAGGTGTTTTAGCCAGGACAACTTCACTGGTGAATGCACGTATGTTAGACTGAAAAAAACAAAGAGACAAGATGTTATGAGGAGACGTGGCACTGTCATATTTACGGACCCAAGTGAGGTAGAGGGAAAGGTGTCTTTGATTTAGACCTGTTATTTTATCAGGATGACATTGAGGTGGCAAGGCAGAATTCTGAAAAATTAAACGTGGGATTAGGAGGAGTGAAGTTATGAGAGGTGCTTACTTCTGGGCCAGCAACCCTTTCACTACCTCTGGTATCAACTAATAAAACTTTACACCATGAAACAGTAATTTTGTAACAGAAAATAGTAATTTTTGAAATGCAAAAATTTATATTAGGAAATTACCAACTTAATATTTTATGTCTGTTTTCCTGAAATGCTACATTTTTAATGTTTACATCTTAGAACACTAAGAGTGATGTGTCTACCTTTCTGCAGTTAATACTCAAAATGAGGGGCTTCTCATAAAGCCGAGTTGGATGCTCAGAACATACAGTATATTATTCTATTTTAATTCAAAATAATAACTAACTCTCTTAGGGCTCAGAAAGAGCTAGTATGACTTAAGCCACCTTAAAAAAAGAACAAAAGGAAAAACTTATCCTCCACATAAAAATTATGAAGTCTGCAAGAACCTTTAGCCTCCGGCTGGTTTTGTGATGGCATTCAATGCATTTAAATGACTGAATATTTCTTTGGGCTCTTGCTTTTTTCCAGATATTGACCTCTGTGAAAACGGGGTGCAGCGGCACATCGGGCACGCCAACCTCACCTACGAACAGCTTCGCAGCCTGATGGAAAGCTTGCCAGGGAAGAAAGTTGGGATAGAGGACATTGAAAGAACCAGAAAGACATGCAGATCAAGCGAGGAGCTTCCAAAGCTGCTCAGCTTGTGGAGGATGAGGAACGGCGACCAGGACACTTTGAAGGGCTTGATGCATGCGCTCAAGCACTTGAAAACCTACCACTTCCCCAAGACTGTCACCCACAGCCTGAGGAAGACCATCCGGTTCCTCCACAGCTTCACCATGTACAGACTGTACCAGAAGCTCTTTCTGGAAATGATAGGGAACCAGGTGCAATCAGTAAAAATAAGCTGCTTATAACCGGAAATGGTCAGTGCACTGTTTCCTCCCAAGGGGCCAGGTCTGCTGGATGAGAAGACGTTTCTCAGGCACTCGAGGGAGTACAGTGATTTCTGTCTCGTCACCTATGCCCAACTTTGCCGCAGGGCACTAAAAGTAGGTCTGATGTGCAGAAAGAACTAATGTCTCCCCAAAAGTTCAGTAAATCCCCAACAGTTTATCCCACTGTCAGATCTGGCCCAGAACCTACTGAACGTATTTTCTGTTACTGCTTGCAGTAATTCAACTGGAAATATTAATAATAATAATAATAATAATAATAACTAGACCCCATACCTTTCTAAATACGGGAATCTCTGACTTAATAGCTTCGAGATTTCAGCTGCGTTAGAGGCTTTTGTTAGAAAGCCATATTTTTTTTTCTGTAAAAGTTACTAATACATCTGTTAACACTATTACAGTATTGCTATTTATATTCATTCAGATACAAGATTTGTACATATTGCTTTAGAAAGAAATGCTGTAAGACAATTTTAGAAAGAAAAATATGTTCTGTTTATTATTATGACAAATGAAAGAGATGAAATATATTTTTTAATGGAAAACTATAGGATTTTCTAATAGGTATTGCTATTTTTCCTGTGTGGAGTGTTTTTGCCATATAATTTTATCTATATAAGCTGTAATATCATTTTATAGAAAAATACAATATTTAGTCAATTGTTTAATGTCGGAAAGTGTATGAAATATGTTATCTGAATATCAGATGCTCTGAGAAATTGAATGTACTTTATTTAAAAGATTTTATGGTTTCACTATATATAAACAACATCATTAAAGTTTTCAAATTATTTTTTATTGCTTTGCCTCTTGCTTTTATTTAAATGGGATGTTAATGGGTTTTCAACTTCTCTAATTATCCTGTTCGCCTTTACCACTAGGACATGCAGGACTTGTTAAACGTGCAGATTCCTAGATGAGTGTGCTGAAAATCTCCAGGATGAGGAGAGAAACACATTTTTCCCGAGCTCCTAAGTAATTTATTGTTACACTGGCATTGGAGAACTTCTTAGGTCAGGTTTAGTATCTGGATGGAGCCAGCCACTTCCAGCTGAAACCAAACTACGGAAGCTCTTTCGCTGCAGAATGGACACTGGCACTACTTACTGTAAGGAAAAGAAATTGATTGGAATAAATTGATTGGGTTTAATGGTGTCCCCATCACGTGCTCGTATCATAAGCCCAAGAATCTGTGGATCCCACCTTATTCAGACTAAGAGTCTTTGTAGATGTGATTAAGGGTTTTTGAAATGAAATCATGCTGGATTATCGGGTAGGCCCTAAATCCAGTGACAGTTGTCTTCATGAGGGACACGCAGCATGGAGGGACAGCGGAGGGTGAGGCCGTGGGAGGAGGGTGTGGGGAGCCGCTGAAGCTGGAAATGACCACGTGTGCGAGGCTGAGACAGGGCCGTCCCAAGAACAAGGAGAACCTAGGGAAAGCCAGTGGAGAAGCTGCTCAGCCCAGAGAACCTGGCCCCAAGACAGTCCAAACAGTGGGTTGCTAAAAGGTATGCAGTGAGGGGGTGGTTCCTTTCTGCCCACCAGGAGAATAAGGGCTCCACCTGACCCCAGCTTTGTCTCTTCTATATTTTTGCCATCCTCTCACCATCCTTTCCTGAAAACATCTGGAGCTGTGCAGGTTTTGGCAGAAGTGTACACCTGTGTGCCGAGGGACAGGAGGGCGTTGCTTGCCCTGAGCTTAGTGGGGAGCGCAGCCCAGCTGATATGTTAAAATCTCTGGCCTCCAGAGTTGTGACAGAATAGATTTTTATAGTTTAAAGCCAGACAATTTTTAACAATTTGCTACATTAGCCCCAGGAGATAAATAGAGGTGGCACTGAAGCTTCCTAAACAGCAGAAAAAGACAATCCTGGATTTTACAGGAGCCAAAGCTGCAGTTCTTCCTCCTAATCTTACATCTCTCTATCTTTCAATCCAAACTTTCAAGCTCCTAGCAGAGACACTCTGGTTGTGGCAGGTGGGATCAATATAAAGAGAGGGCCTGTCCTTGTCTACCAGTATCAATTTGCAAGACTGACTTTCTCTGTGACAAGGGTCCACTACACTCTGTCCTTTCCTCATTTTACTGCAGCTTACCAGAATGGAACATTGACGTGAATTGCCTAATGTTTGTGAAATCCCATCGGATGTGGTCAGTTTCCTGGGTGGGCAGATCCAGGTAAGTGACCTTGGAGGATGGGCACTCCATATGGAGACACTGCAAATCCAATACTGAAGAGTCCAGCAGGAGGACAGGGGGGAGGGAGAACTCTGCACTTTCCCTCCAGAAACTCCTGTTCGTTCACAAAAACTCTCATTTTTAGACAATGCAATGGCCCACGCCAACCAGCAAAGTTTAAGAAAAATTCCCTCAAATGGCATCGATACTAAATTATTCAAATTCTTATTTGATTGACCTCCCTTGATGCTCTTTGGGGCCAGTTTACCTCAAGCTTCTCTTTCAGGGGATTTAAAACACATACACACCGTGTCTACCCAGTTTTCTTTTCTTTTAACCTTTAATTCTGAAATGATTTTCTCTTCCCTAGCCCTGTGATCAATTTTTCCTTTTATTGAAAATGATATTCAGAAACCAACAAGTAGCTGGGGCTAGGCATGTTCATGAGGACTGAAACATCATTGCTTCTAGGCCTTCTTAATAGACAGAGCTAGTAAACACATGCATGCAAATTAACCCAAGTACACACTGTATTTATATGTACAGGTGTGTACTGTGTACTCTAGCACGCATGTACACATACTCCACTGAATTTGTGATAGCTGTCACCTTTCTCCCCTTTTGATTGTCCATAACTTCTTTCTGGTAGTGATAAACATGGCTCACATTTAAACATTCATTTTCTTAACCACACTTGCACATAAAGTATTTTCATAATTGCTAAGGGGGCCCCATGAGAAATTTACCAGAAGAACCAGGGTGATTACACAGGATCCCTTGACTCTAAGGGTTCATAAAATTCCATCACCTACCAGCGTCTTACACCGCATCTATCTAAGACCCTCCTTGGCCTTAGTTACCTACTTATAGACCTCGTCTCCATTGCCTGTTGTTTTCCCTGACAAACTTACAAACCACCGAGCTCTTTCCCATCCCTATAATTCGCCTTTGCCAAAATGTCACAAGGACCGAATCATCTAATATGTCACCTTTTATGTGACTTTCCTCGCTTCACAAAAGGCATTTCCGATTACTCATACTACCGTGTGACTCAGTAGTTTGTTCCTTCATATTTCTTAGTGTTTCATCAAAAGGATGAATCAGAAACTTGGTTATTCACTCTCTCCATATAGTGCATTCTAATTGTTTTCTATTTGAGGTGATGGCACACAAATTCTCAGTTATTTTAGGTTTAAGTACCAAAGAAGAAGATCGCTGGACCATCCCCTAAGCATATGTTTAACTGTATAAGAAAGTGCCCTCTTTTCCAACTGGCCGCCCACTTTGCCTTCTCCCCAGCCAGTGAAAGGAAGCTATTGCTTTATAGGACCACCCACCTCCGTGCATCGTTGGTTTTATTTATTTTTATTTCACCATTCCTGTACTGTGCAGTGGTGCCCTACTGTGTTTCAGTTTTGCCTTTGCCTGACGAGTGGCTATACCATTCTGCTAGGGCCGCCGCAGCACAATGCCACACACGGAGGTTTCTTACCATGAAACCGCATTCTTCACAGTTCTGGAACTTGGAAATTCCAGAGGAAGGCGCTGTCAGGGCTGATTTCCGGTGAAGTCCTCCTTACCGGATTGTAAGGCCGCCTTCTCACTGCCCTCTCACAAGCTCTCTCCTCTGCAAAAGGACAGAACCACTGGTGTGTCTCTTCCTCTTCTTGCAAGGAGCCTAAGATTTTCCTTTGCCTCAATTATCGACTGAAAGGCCTTGTTTCAAAAAATCATTAAGGTGCCAGGGATATAGCTCAGCGGCACAGCACCAACTTGGCAAGCATGAGGGCATGAGTTTGACCGTCGGTGCCAAAAAAAAAAAATTCATTAAGGTGTAGAGTGCAGGGTCTTAACAGTGACAAGGATACCACTGAATCCATGACTCTAATGATGTTACGCATCACTTCGTATATTTATCAGTGCCTGTGTATCTTTGGTGAAACTCCTGTCTAAAATTGCTCATTTTAAAGTTATATTGCTTAGTTTCCAGTGGTTGAGTTTTAAGAATGCTTTTATAGCCTAAGCAGAAGGCCAGTCCCAAACCTAGCTGCTAAACCTGTGGCTCACTTTTTACTATGCTTACTAATTGCTTCACTAAACAAAGTTTTAGACACCAGTACAATTTATCCTCTCTGAAACGAACTGTGGTTTCAGGGTCAGGTGAAAATATGTAACCCCAGATCCAATAGATGCTGTGCTGTTTTTGTTCATGGCTTCATACTTGACATTTGGGTTTATTGTCTCCTATAAATACATTTTGTAAAATCGTGTTCAAACTTATTATTATTTTTTTTTTTTGCAAAGGAACAACTGACTTTTCTAGTAAGATTTTTGAAAAAGATTAGCATTTGTCCATCACATCTTCTTTCTGTTTTTGTCCAAAACAAATAGTTTGTAATATTTGGGTGTAAATATATTTCTGGTCTCTCGATTCTTTTCATTCATTTATCGACTCCATGACTTCATCCGTGTTACCAAGTTGTACGAATCACTGTCACATTATGGGAACTCTTGAAAGTATTTCTGATGACCCTTATGGCCCTTGGGAATATGCTACTTTTCTTGGCTTTCGGCTTCATCGTTTTTTGTTAAAAGATATAGACTGTGAGGTTCAGTAAAAACAAAGTCCCCATCTGTCCTTCAGCTAATTGCATTCTTGTCGCTGTCCAGCTGTGCGGACTCCAGGGAACAAAGGCCAGCAGGCATTAGACTTTGGGACCAGTTGCTTTCTCTGAGAACTCAGGGCTCTGGTGAATTTTTAAAAAGTCACAGATTTGAATTTAGTTTGATTCTTTTTGGTCCTAAACTAACCAGCTCTCTGGATCTTCCAGTTCGATAGATACAAGGGTAGAAGCCAAAATTTTATCAGCCAATTTGTTGCTTGAAGATTTGACATAAAACATTGATTTCTAGGACTCTAGACTCACACTTTTCTCTTGTTCTCCTATCAGCTTGGTGAAGTATTTTTGGTGGGTTGGTATTACAGACTGACATGCTATCCGGAAACAATTTTAAAAGTCTTTATTATGGTTGGGTCACCAAATTCTTTCTACGAAGTCTATTTACATAAAACACTGTTGTATCTATTTCAAGTGTCTTATTCCATAGGTCACCTTCAATTTTGACTTGGTGTGGAAAATCTCATTTGCTAATTCACTGAAAAAAATATTTTGGGTGACAGATTTAGCAGACTCCTAGTCATGCCCTTTATCCCAATTTCTAAGCAAGAGGCGTGGTTGTGATCATCACTGATCTCAGAACCATCGCGGCTTCAGCTGTTTAATCTGTTATTGGTGAAACCATAGTTTTCAAACAGGGAGAGTTTATTCATGGGTCTAGAGGTGAGTGTGAGAAACTCGGGAAGAGAAGCTCAAAGAGTAGAAAACTGTAAGCCCTTCTCTAGTGGTTTGCTTGTCTCTAGCCTTGAAGTAGCAACTTCCCAGCCATACTTAGTCTCTGGAGCTATTTTCCAGAATTGACAGCAAAACTCAGTCTGAAGTATGAACTTTTATTCTTGATCAGAGTGCTCTGCGGTTCTTATCAGTTTGATTAGTATAATTATAATTGTTGATGCTTAATACAACTAAAATTCTTCATAGCTTTCTTGGTGTCCTTT